TATCAACACTAGGCAATCCTAGTGAAGTAATACTTGTTCGACGAGACAACTAGATAAGAATGGAGTTGAGGTGCAACGTGTCAATACTACTACTACTCGCCCCGTCCCCTACAGAACGATTCACTTCTCGTACTGCTCCCTAGAAGAGCTCATAAAAGTTACAAAAATAAAAAAAGTAAAAAGAGGGGGATGAGTAGAGCAAAAAGTTGGCTTGAACAGTTTTGGAAAATCTTCTTCCCCAATAGGCAATGTTCAGAGGTCTTTACCGCTCCGTGATTGTCGTTTACCCGATTTTCTGGAGGGGGGTGGGGGGGAACCATGGAAATTGATCGCGTCAAAAAAGTGACTCGCCGATTGTCAAACATAAATCCCTTTTTAACGTGGCTTTTAATCTATTTTTGCACATGACCTTCAGCCGTTGAACAAAAACATCTGGTGAGGGGATAGGGAGGGTTTTCGAGAACGTTTTCGACGGCAGGAGGTGTAAAAACGGTCTAAATCATAAAATTCAAGTAACTTGCGCTCATATTAGAGGTTCAGGATAAAGTCTCTCGTCCTTAATCCAATCCACTTTGGGATGCGCCTCGCACTAGGCTTTTAAGTAATACAGTGGGAGCGTTTTGAACGTAGCGTATGTGGACAAAACATAGATTCGACCAGAAAAACTAACAAGTACTCACTCCTTGAGTTCATTTTATTCTTGCAACTAACAGAAACCCAAAAGCTGCTCATTTAAGGAACGCTAGTTGAAATATCCATTTTCAGTTGAAAGAGCTAACAAGCATTGCATATTTTTGATTTTTCTTACTAGTTCAGAGCTTTGGGCTTCAATGTCACAGCATCTAAACCTGATTACGTCCACAATCTTTTCTTTGGATAGAAAAACTGCTTTCTGTTCATATCCTGATAGGCGTCCGGAGGGTCACTGGAAATCGTAATGAATTGAAGATCTATGAAATATAAGCCATCAAGAAGGCGAAGGCAATCGGGGTCTCGGTAGTGTATGGGATAAGAGCACGGTCCGCGGAAAGGGTAAGGACGGGTTCGAGTTCGGTCCAAGCCTGAAGTTTTGTCCATAAATCGCCAACCTTGTGAGAAGTGAAATTCTTTTTTGATAATGATGATGAATACGTTGAGTAGCCTACACTACCCTCCAACCTGGCCCCTGTGCTCACTGCATCTGCTCGCTGTTGTGTTTTGCATGTGCTGCACTCATTACAGGATGTACAGACGATGATTATGGCTTCGTTCCAGTCATGAATTGCGAGTACCTCGTGAAGAACCACTTCTATCCAAATATCCACAATCATCATCACAAGCCTATCGGCCATCACCTCAACCTGCATTTAGGCCTTCACCTATTATACCTAATTATCGGGAGACAAGTGCCTAGGTATTGGCCACATTACCCGATGCTGCTCATTTGGCTACAGACCTTTTTTATTTCCAGAAATCTCTCCTTTCTCTTATTCTAAATGTTTTCATCGCATTGCCATCGCCTCTGTTGATCTTTCTCGATGTGCTGTGAATTACTGTTTAACCGTACTCTATGTTCCAGGTGAATGTATCCCATTTTTAGCCTTAACTCCAATGAATTCCTCATCTTTCCTCATTCTTTTTGTATTATAATTTTGTTTTTTTTCTGAATTTTTATGCTTCCTTTTTTGAATTTTTTTGATAGCTCTTAGAACTGCTTTTTATGTAGAATAAGAATTTCGTTCTACGAGCAGAAATCGTTTTATGATTGTTCACTCTTGGTCTCATGTCGACGATATTTGTGAATAAACTAACTGAAAGCTGAATGCCAGTTTTGAAAGCAATTCAGAAATTTTTTGAAAATTCAGAAATATAAGGGGGTTCAGTGGCGCTTTTCATTTTGACCGGAATGGTCTCCAAAGCCAGCTTAGCATGGGTTATATCTGAATGGAGGGTTAGCTAGGCCTTACAGAACTGGACATTCAGGTATATTCACCTCACTCTGGAAGGAGCCTAATAGAAGGCCCCAAGGGCCACAGGCGCGGCCCATCTCAACTCAACGGTGTTGCCTGGCTTCACCTATGCAGGAGAAACCTAAGCTCTAAAAACCTCCAGAAAGGCAATTAATGTCCACCCAGGCATCAATTGAACGTCGCTTTCCGGATCTGACATTGGGATTGCAAAGACAGCTGAAACGGAACGGATCGGTCAGACGACATCCGAAGTAAAGGACGATCTGCTCTCCGTCGACGAAGGTAAGCATAGGTTCACTTCTGATGAGTAGAGGAAACCGACGGTGGATTCGGCCACTGTGAGATAGCAGCCTTCCTGAACGACAGGCGGATTCTCTAGTGTATCGAAATAAAGTCTATGATCCAGAGTAATCACTCACTGGGCAACCAGAGCTCAAGGTAGAGAGCAGAGAGAAATTGGGACCTGCTCAAGGATCACCGCCTCGTTAATGAAAGCCAGGTATCTACGGATGTCTCTTCGTTCTCTCTCTAACTATTATTAATGTTCGGATTTCATTTCATTAATTCACCAACCTTCCAAGGTGGCGTTGCTGTGGTTGGTGGGTAGCCCTTCACCTACAGGATGTACAAAGTGAGCTGAACGATCAGCTTAAGGCCTATTACGAATTGGTGTGAGAAAGTCATGATGATTGGCTGTCTGTAGGTAAAGAAAGAAGCAGCGAAATGCAGTAATAGAACTACACAAATGCAAACTACTTACAGTAACTAGAAAGTTTACTGGTTCTCTACTACAAACAAAGAATAAGAATTGGAATCACCAAAAATCACCCCCTTTATTGATTCTTTTTCTACGGAACAAACAACAAAATTAAGGTTTCATGTTGCTGCAGAAACAGGAACACAAAGTTTCGTATTAGAATCACAGTAGGTATTACCAGGGCATTGTGAGCATGGCTCTCCTTTCTTGTAGATAACTTGATTGAGTTTGTTTCCACTGAAAGGAAAATAGTTCTCTTACTTCGTATTGGATAAACTCCTCCCATCATGGGCTAGATGCTTGTTTTGCCTTCAACTCTTTTCAAATTTTGATTATCTCTCTTACAAAGTAGTGAGCTACAGTATGGACAGGATATAATCGAAACACCTATCCGAGCATTCATACTTTACGATCATCGCAGCATAACATGAGCGCATCAATCGATACCGGGTTAAGTGAAGCTGACGTCCTCCGTCGTGCTCATTTGCAAAAAAGAACAGCAAGAGAAAATAATGTAAGTGGTTAATCACAACGAGACGTTCGCATTAACAATAAGACCCATACCCGAGCGACTGTAAGAACCGCATTCCTGCACAGAATTCTCGTTTGCGCCATTCATAGTTAGCGATTGTAGTAAACCGCGACGCATGAAGGTAATGCGTCGCGGTTTACTACAATCGCTAACTATGAGTGCTAAAGTATATGGAAGCATTCAAGAAACGATGGGCTGGGCACATCACTCGTCTTGAGAACAAATGGACGTCCAAAGTGATCGACTGGAACCTGCCGAAAAGAAAATTTTGCAGGGTTGGTTCCCAGATGGGTGGAGTGATCCCCTTAAAGGCGCCTTGCAAGGATAGCATAAATCCCGTCCCCGTAGACTGGATTTTTAGGCATTTGAGGTAAGGAAACACCCGTATAGATAGTCAGACTCACCCCGGTTTGTAGTGACATACCACAGACCATTTGTTGCCACATGATCTCACACCGCAACCAAAAGTCCGGGTTGTCGCCCATGCCATCTGTAAGTGATACCAGTTTAAGAACACACTCAACGACAATCTTCAGTACCGATCCTTCGTTTCAAAAAAAATTTACCCTCGTAAACCAAGAAATCGGTTTGCCAACGTTGTACTGCGTATAAGTTACACCTTGACCAATACCGCCATCAATTCTTATTTGGCTCCACCACATCTTTACGCCCTAAAAAGGAAATTCAACAGTCAAAAGTAAGTCTTTCTGTCGTATGTCTATCAAAATATAACAAACTTACAGATATGATGGCATCCTTACGATATTGCGCTTCCCCTTTGGGAACAAGGTAATAGTTTTCCTCTACATCGGGCGGAAGTTTTGAACTTCCTGTCGCAGAACAATTCATCGCAGACATCACAGCGCTCGTCTCAAGTCCGCAATCGTATAGCTACAAGTACACTGTAACTAGTTTGTTCAATGTCCTCATACGGTAATTGCAGTTCACGACACCGCAGGACAACTATCAAAGACATGCCCCGCTTGCGATCGCGCGCTCATAAGAGCAACCGCACCGCCTCGATTCTACAGCTTTTCTGTGTTTTCTAAGGCGTATTTCAGTTTCAGCAATATAGAAATGCCTATTTTTTTACCAGTTGGAGCATATTGGTGGCCGGCGGCAGTTTTCTTCCTCGTTTGTTCTCGACCAGACCTTGAGCAAGCCGACCTCTGAAATTTGTCTTTTTTTTTGATGGGAATCTGTCAGAAGGTTTGAAAACTACGTTTACCTGCGATAGTTGTGAGCCATCATTGCATTTGCTCTGATCCTGTCATTCATGTAATTGTTATGCGGACAAATTCTGTTGATCGCTGCAGTGAAACGTTATTACGGCTCTTTTATCTCTATCCAATGAAATATAAGTCACGCTTAGGGAAAGGTTGTATAGTGGGAAAGGGCACACTATCACACACTCATGTCCATGGGTTCGAATCTCGGGTCGATATCCGCGTGGAAGAATCAAGTTTTCCATCCCTCCGGATGATTAATTGGTACCAAAGTCGTCTGGGACGACCACCGTGCTTCATTGTATAGTCCACATAAGTATTCAGTATGCCACTACGATTCTGAATTGAAGCCGAACGTGAGGCGCATCCTTCAGACGGCTTGATCGGCCCTCAAAGATTTTGAGACTTTCCTGAACAAACAGCATTGCCATGCTTTGCGAACAATGCAGAAGCAACAAGCTTGAGGGGACCCCAACTCAGTCTTTGGCCTTCTCGTTTTTATTGTTATAATTATTACTGCTTTTGGAATCTGAGGTATGCGGCGGTCAATTTTTTACAGTACTCTTAGGATACCACGATGCTTCAGTTTTTACATCTCGTATAATCATCAGAAGCCTTGTTTAACATGTCTCTTAATTTTCTAAGGTATTTTGATTGCCAAGCGAATGTATTCGGAATTGAGATGGCTACCAAAAAGCGAACCTGGTCTCACAGTCGAGGTCGGCGTCGTACTCATAGTTGTCGTTGTTGTCGTACTACTCGTAGAGCTGGTCGTACTGGTGCTGCTGCTGGTTGTGGTAGCCTCTGTGCTCGTAGTCGTCGGGGTCGGGGTTGTGCTACTGGCAGTACTAGTAGATGTGCTACTGCTAGTGCTGCCCACTGGGCTACTACTGCCAGAGCTGCTCCTTGTAGAACTAGCGCTCTTGGTCGTTGTGCTAGCCGTCGGACTTGTTGGTGTGCTACTGGTACTGCTACTGGAGGTGCTGGTTATCTATCAACCTTCTATAGTTATCTATCAAGCAGTATAAGCAACTAACAAAACCAGTAACTTACGGTGATTACGCCGAGAAATAGTAGAACACTGTACGTCCACATAATGGTAAGGGTTGTGTACAGAGTGAAATGCCCTTGCTTTTATGTGTTTATAAATAGGCTTTTCGATATTACCAATTGGCAAAACTCCCATTCACGTTCAATCAACTGAACAGTTTTTGTTAAGTAATTGTGGGCTCTATGAAATTTCAGTTAGAAAACATTGTGAGCTGCCACGTAGGCGAATTCGGATTATTGTAGTTTTTCAAGTCCGGAATGTCGTTTTGTACGAAAACAACACCAAAATTCCTGTCCCACGTAATGCAGATACATCGTTTCCTACTTATTCTTCATGACTAAAACCCTTGAGGCAAGAGACAGACAGACAGACAGACAGACAGACAGACAGACAGACAGACAGACAGACAGACAGACAGACAGA